AAAGAGGTAAATCGCGCAGGTGGAAAACACGTCACACGAGAAAATACAATGTTGTGTAAAATTTGGACCTTATGAAATACGGCCCCATTAATTGTGTTAGACATGTCTCAGTAAAGATAATGCACCATGCCCTTTTCACTGACTAATAATCGAGTAAAAAGATCGGTAACATGCGAGAAACCGTTTTAACTAGAACAAGACAAAGCAGTTACGTCACACACTTAAAAAAAAAAAACCTCGTCAAAATTTGACCCGGAATCCGATCCGGGTTTCTACCATCTGATACTTTTTCAGGGTCAAAAATGACCCGCTTTTGTCGGTCAAACTGAATCTATTGACAAGATTTTCAGATCGAAATGATCTGGAAAAAGATCTAGATGTTATAGGAGTGTTATTTTGACCCGGAATAGGATCGTTTTGACCCGGAAAAGTATCGGGTCAAGTAGAACCCCTATTCTGGGTTAAATCCCGTACTTTTTACCGTACTTTTTAGAGTGAGGGTTGACCTTGGTTCGACTATTTAGAAATGCCATAATTAAAATTAGTTAACGTAACGAGTAGCTTGGGGACCGGGTACCATGACTATCGTCACGCGTGGGTATCCAGATTACCGCCGGAGGGCCGGTTGGGTTCAAAATCTAACCAAAAATTAGAACTACCGTATAAACTTCAATCCCCCATTGACATTCAGTGACCTTGTCAACTTGTTTAGTGAAAATGTCGGCACTAAATTCCCGAAGTCGGTCTCGGGTAATGGTGCCGATAAATATGGAATCGGGTACCCGATTCAGTCCCCACTGTCGGTTCTTCGGGTATGCCGGTTCCGGCTCACAGGCCGGTAACTCGTTGAAAGTCTAGCATTATGAGAAGAATTCGCCAGGAGTGACTCAGATCGTAGTGACTCATCGGCGGTGTATTATAAGCGCAAACGCAGAACTTGGAATTCACAGATGGACCACGTGCGGTAGATCCGGCGAGCTGACGAGAGATAAGTTGGATCGGTCAGCGGCGAGATGCCAGAAATGCTCCGGTCCCCAGTCTGTGATCAGGGAATTGAAGAGATTATTATTTATAAAGGTCTTTGCCTAATTGGAAAGATAACAAACCCGCATATCCATCATGAGCCGTGTGGTATACCGGTATTCTTTGAGGTTTTTAACGGCTAATACGACGCATTATGGGTCATGCGAATTAGGAAATAAGAAATGAATTTCGCTGGAATTTCGAAGGGCCGCTCCGTAGAAAATCACCATCGATGATTTTAACTTATGGGAAAACGGGGTCTTAAAGGTGTCTAACAACACACAAAATTGCTGATTGCAGAAATGTTTGGCTGTACAGGGTGAGTAAAAAAAAAACCGAAACCCAAATGTTGGGACCATTGTTTTAGGGAAGTTATGTAGCATTTTCAAAATCTAGGATATAAAGCCCAATTCATAAGCTTTCTTTTAGTACAAGAATCATTCAAATCACTCATGTATTTTTCAAGTTACGGAATTGTAAACACAACCACCGTGTTAAGGTTCTGTCCACGGATCACAGAAAACGTGTGCGTTGTCTCAGCAAAACGAAAACAATTCACACACATCCCTATGTGATTTGTTTTCGTTTTGCTGGAAGAACACTGAACCTTAAAACGGTGGTTGTGTTTAAAATTCCGTTACTTGAAAAGTATATGAGTGATTTGAATGATTCCTATACTAACAGAAAGCTTATGAATTGGGCTTTTATATCCTACATTTTGAAAGTGCTACATGCAGAACTTAAAACAATGGTCCCAACATTTGGGATTCGCTTTTTTGGACTCACCCAGCTAACAGCTCATAGCTAGAATCAGTTTTCTGCTGAGTTTGGCTTGGCACTTGAACTAGAAACCTTCCCGCTTATTTACAGCCAATAAAATTGGCCTCACGCCACAATGTCATGTTACCTGTACATGCCATTACGGATCTTTATAGTTTATGTTAAGCACACATTTCGCATGCATAGGCCCTGATAGGTTTTGATCAAGAATAACGTAATTTGAAAACCCCATGACATAGCATTGTAGCAACTTCGCAACCGTCTGGTGAAAAAGGCTTACATGGTTTCCTCTGTCTGACGTGTTTACATGGCACCCCTTGCAAAACATCGCGTTTGCAAAATACTGCAGCGTTTTCTTTTTTTGATTTTAGCCACTCACACCAAGGCCGGATCCAGAACACTATTTTTGGGGGGAGCAGAAAAAATTTCCCGAAAAAGTGGCTCCAAAAATTATCCGCCCAAAGTTTAATAAGAAAAGCATGGGATGGAGTGCAAAATGTATTGCTTTTGTTGAGTTTGTGGGTGGTGTACGCAATGGTCAACTTTTTGGCGATGTTACTCAAACAAATCGGGTTCGTTGGGGGGGGGGGGGGGGGGGGCATGGCCCCCGTTCGACCCCCTAGATCCGCCGTCGACTCACCCCAGTTTTTCTTTAGCTGTTGTTAGGAATCGATGGTACTGCTAAATCATCCATGACTGCAGGGATGCGAGAAACGATTTCGTTTTTTCAGATGAGACAAACAGTCCCAAAAGTGAAATCATTTTAAAGCGTTTCAAGTTACCATCCTATGAAAGTGAAGATGTTCTCCTATAACATTTGTGGATAGACCTTGACCTTTATTTTATGATTAACTAATTATGGTTTCTGTTTAGGGCCAGGTTGGGTTTATTTATAGTATAGAACCTTCTGCATGGTTAAGATCCTTGTATCAAACCTCATGTCCTGTAAATATTATTTTATATATACATGGTATTCATTAGCGCTTGTATGACAATCCATTGTTTTAAAAGACAATAGAAGAACTTACAACTATAATATCTTTCCAGCACAGCTAAAGCCATGTGTGTTGATCAGGTCAGTGGACGGTTTTCATTAACGCAAGAATGTCAGTCAATAGACCTTTATCATGCCGCCACCATTTTAGTCATGTTCCCTGCATCCAATAACAGTACTGAATGATAATATTTTATGCAAGAAGGAACCAGACTATTTTTCCTTCCAGCCTCGCTGTGGTTACATTGATTTGAATGGGGAAAAATCCAATGGCTTCAACATGATAATTGCCTATATTGACAAGATGATATATAGAAGGAATACCGCTAATATTCAGCTATATGAAGCTCATAAATTAAATGTCCGTCCAGAAGTGATATGATTATCAAGATGTTTCGTCCGCAACCCTGACCAAAAATTAATCCCACCCTCCATGTCCCCTAACCACAAGAAATTAAGAATTAATTGGTTTCCCCGTATTACGTACCCTTGCATTGCAAATGGGCCTTATTCACGAGTTGGCCATTTTTGTCGAGTTTCCCGAATGTATTTCATCAAATGTTAACTGTTGAATGGGATGGCGCCAGACTATTTATGCAGGCACAATGCAGCCTTATTTTACCGTCATTTTTTTTCAATATGGCTTTAAACATCAGGGAATGTTTAAATACAAATTTTAAAATATTAATTGAAGCAGACTTGAATTTATTATAAATTAACTTTCTTCCATTTCTCTTCGCAAGTTCCAAAGATCAAGATTTTACCTAACTTTCAATACAATATGGCCGACTCGTGAATAAGGCCCATGTAGCCGATCTAATAATAGCATAGTATCAGGTTTCCGTGTTTTAGACGTCTCAGGTAGCATTCTCTGCCCTGTCTGGTTGGTAGAACATTACAAAATTGGAAGTTCTGCTTTGCGAGTTCGCAAAGTCGTAATTGGTTACACCTGAACTCTGTGAGCAGTGACTAAGGGGGACAATGTGTTGGTAATGTGCTTCCCTCTATACCAATGTCTTAATATAAACCAGAGATATTTCCTTTCTGCTTGGCGTCCAAGGACAGTTTTAAATGTTCCAAAATATGTCTTTTTCCTCTGAGTCATGGCACCAGGAATATATTCGTTACCCTTTTGCCGTCGGAATGTCTACAGGGGAAACCGAAGAGGAAGCAGATTTCGCGATAATGTTTCCCCCCGATGATCCGAGCAAATTATCGGTCGGTTGGTTTGACAAACATCTCGCCCCCACTTCCACTTGTTGCGCCCCAGAGGGAAAACAACAACGACAGAGCTAACGTGACAAACCATACGACGAACGTTTGATGCGAAACTTTCCTTCGAAAGTCAAAATTTCGCCTGAAGTTCAGTTATGATTCTTCATTTTTGCACTACCTATAAAGTAGTTTAGATGCGTACATGCGATCCAATAACTGGCAATAAGTGTTAGCTGAAATAAAGACAAGTTCAAGTATCATAGGTTCTTTCTGCCACAACTATTACCCCAGTCAACGTCATTACATAAAAGGGAGAATGGGTCCATTTCGCATTAAATTTAGTAAGATTACCATTTGAAGTAAATATGAATTTTTCTAATAGGCCCACATAGTATCGTTTTAGCTCATTCTTAAATACTAAAAGAGACGGTTACTATATCTTCGTTTTGTAACTATGGTAACGGCATAGAAGAAGACTTACGCTAAGGGCGCTCCAGGTTTTGTTAAGTATGCCAAATAAAATCATCTCGTAATCTACAAACACATTAATGTTCAAGGTCTTCTTAATCAAATCACTAATTTGGATCCAGAACGATAAAGAAATCTCACAAGTACAAAATGAAGTGAATCAGAGTTTCATTTTCTACATGACCAAAGGAACACAAGTCGTTCTCCCCTTTACCAATCTTTACCAAATAAGAATTGACGCCCAGGATTCTATGGACCAATCTGTATTGAAACCATCGTAATTTTGTATCGCGAGTAATCGTAAAGGGCATACTGCAGAAAACCGACCATTTAGTGGCAGGGAAATTGATACTCAATTTTTATACTGCACCCATCTTGCCGCCTGCCCAAGTCATAATCAAGAAACCTCATCCTTAATTCCTTACTTTTCCCATTTAAAACCTTTCAACATCCGTACTCCACCCCATGCACATCCGTACACTTGCATTTCTGTCATTTACCTTTCTTCTATTTTGCACAGCACCCACCTTGCCGCCCACCAACGTCCAAGTCCAGTTCACCGGCCCCAAGTCTTTCATCGTGGCATGGGATCCCCCTCCGCACCCTGTCACGGGCTACGTCCTGGCCTACAGCGGCGGCAATGTCCAAATCGACGGCCACCTGACAAACACCGAGGTGGTCAGCGAGCACACCCTAGACCCTGCGAGGTTCTCCATGGGGCTGTACTCTCAGACGTCGGCGGGCTTCAGCACCACCGAGAGCTTCGCAATTCTGCATCCCGGAGATACAAGTAAGTCGACTTTTGTTTTCTTCTTCTTCTCTTTGAGCAGCGTTAAACTCACGGTGGTGCAAAAAGAAGGAAGCCCACTTTTGACAGCAATTTCCACCTATATGTTGAGCATATTTCAAACATTCAATTTAATGGTATTAAATATTGATCTTTAAACATAAGTGACGAAAAAAATTATTGCAAATGTATATTTTGTCTGTGAGATATGGTAATTTAAAATGTTCATGTGCCAAACCTGTTTGCCCACGGACGGCTTTATTTCATCCGCTTGACTGAGCTCCGGAGCTTGATTTGAAGACAAAAACACACTAAACCAGACTTAGCCTACACGTGGACAACAGTGATTATTATAATTAGCATAATAACCCTATTCTTATTATTTTTTAAAGATTTTTTTCACCACATATGGATAGAGATGTATTTACTACATTATATAAAAACAGTTCAAGTTAATGGGGGTTGAAATTCCTGTCAAAAGTAGGTATCCTTCTTTTTGCACCACCTGGTATATTAAAGTCTTTACAGATCCTCACAAGAAGATCCCAAGTGTCAGTTTACAGGGTGAGGAAAACAAAAACGAAACACAAATGTCGGGACCATTGTTTTAGTGAAGTTCTGCATGTAGCACTTTCAAAATCTAGGATATAAAGCCCAATTTATAAGCTTTCTTTTAGTTCAAGAATCATTCAAATCACGCTTGTACTTTTCAATTTATGGAGTTTTAAAACACAACCACCGTTTTAAAGTTCTGTCCACGGATCACAAAAAAACGGCGTGCGTTCATTCATCAAAAGGAAACAATTCACACATCCCGATTTTGCGTTTTGCCAGACAAAGCGTTGTTTTGCCCGACAAAGCGTTGTTTTGCCCGTCAAAGCGTTTTGCCCGAAAAGGCGTTTGGCCAGTCAAAGCGTTTTGCCCGACAAAGCGTTTTGCCCAACATAACGTTTTGCCCGACAAGGCGTTTTGCCCAACAAGGCGTTATGCCCTTGCCCGACAAAAAGTTTTGCCCCACAAAGCGTTTTGCCCGACAAAGCGTCCCCCCCCCCTCCCCCCCCCAAAAAAAAACACCACGCACTAATGGCTCGACTCGAATCCAAAATCTGCCGAATATTTTCCACACGGAGGCCACATCACTGTACGTCCCTTTTTATTGCACTGTGCCATAATCACTTAGGCCTAGAGAAAATAGAAAAGCATTAGTGTACTTTCTATCTTCATTGTACACATGAGAACAGGAATGACCCAACTTCTTCTTTATCGATCTTGTAGGCAAGAATGACTCGAGTCCACACTCCAAATTGTATTTTGTCGGGCATCTATTAAACGTAGTAAGCGTGGACGAGAGCCGAAACACTTTAGCACTTCCACTTCCAAATGCAAAATTTTAGTGAGTTGGGCCATCTAGTCCTCAAGTGTAATTATCTATCCATTCATTTCTCGCCACTTCCTGCCAGGAATCCCCCCGACCCCATCGGGAGTCCGCAACCTGATCCTCCCTAACACGCTGGAGCTGGAGTGGACCACGCCGACTCGAGGCGAGTTCGAGTTCTACCGTCTACTCTTCTCCAAGAACGGCCGGGACCAGCTGGCGGTGGACCTGCCCCCGACAGCCACCTCGTACTCCATCTACGAGATCAGCGGGGAGTTCTACACGCGCCTGTACTGCATCAGGAACGGGATCACCAGTGAGGTCGGTGAATGGCAGGAACGGACCAGAACTGTAAAAGGTAAGACTCAAAAGGGCACATGTGGGCCTAATGTAATTTGATAAAATGCAGTCCTTGTGAATTCATCTTTGTGTTCCATTTCACCTTATTTTCAATTCTCATTTTCTAATCTTTAAGGGCATTTCAGTGCATTTTTTTTCTATGCAGACAAAAAAATTGCGTATTTTTATGATTAAGGTGTGATGTCATTTCAGGCAGAAACCTGCACGTTACAGCTGTTTCAGCACAAAAAGTTGCCAGAATTTTTGATATTTAGCTGTCGTAAATGTTCTTTTCTTGGTGATTCGTTATTTCTGTACATGACAGTAGGCCAATGAGCAAAGCTCACAAAATGTTTACAATGAGCAACTTTGGGTTCACAGTTTAAACCAAAAAAAAACCCTGAACTGAACATTGTCTTCCTGAAATGACATCAAAGCAACTAAAGCAAGGACATTTTTTAAAAATGTTTAAAGAAGTGCGTTTTTCACTTCGATTAACCTCAAAGGGATGTCAAATAGTTTTCATACGGAGTAGAAAGTTGCACAAAATATGTACAATTCATGCCATGGTCCCTTTAATCCATCCCTTGCATTTGACATTTTTCACGGGTCACATTTTTTTAAATTCAATATCAACCATAAAAAGTCTACAGCTGCTGACATTGTTTTTGACCACTGGCCCCTAACAAGTTTGTCTGGTGTGGGAACCGGACGTGCTCGAAGATCTTAACATCCCTGAGAAACTCACAGATAGTAGATTGTTGGTCTACCCTAAAAAAAAAACATTGGTAGTGGATCCACTAAGTGTCGATTAGTATACCTATAGCTGATGCCACTGTTAGTTCTTCAGATACCAAGAGTTCTGCTGACATGCTTGTCGAGGCCGGCTAAGGTCGAGAGCTGCAGTGACGCATCATCCACTTTTCCCCCTTAAATTGTGTATGACCTTTACATCCCTGAGCAACTCACAGATAGTAGATTGTTGGTCTACCCTAAAAAAAAAAACATTGGTAGTGGATCCACTAAGTGTCGATCAGTATACCTATAGCTGATGCCACTGTTAGTTCTTCAGATACCAAGAGTTCTGCTGACATGCTTAGTTCTGTGCTCTTCTTCCTTACTTTTTTTCTTTACCTATATACTGTTGCAATACAGCACGTTGCATATGTCTTCATTTTGCCTTACGACTAATTACTATCTAAATGAAAAAGTAGTTAACAACCGCTCGAAGTTGTTCCCCATATATGGCTCTATAAAAAGAGTGGGAGTTACTTCACTCTTTCAAGGGCGGATCCAGAACACAATTTGGGGGGGGGGCCAAAAAAGAATTTGGTACCCCCAAAAAGTGGGTCAAAAAAATCACGGCGTGGGGTTCGGGGCCCGCTTAAGGGCCCCGAATTTTTTTTGGATTCTAGATGCTCTGTGGTGCGATCTGAGGCAATTTCTGACCACTTTAACCAATGTTTTTTGAGGAAAAGATGGCGGTGTACTCATTGCCTGCCTTTATTGCGATGTCACATGTTTCGTTTTGGGGGGCCATGGCCCCCTTTGGCCCCCCCCGATCCGCCCTTGCACTCTTTTCGAGTGGTTTTCACTATATGGGCCATTGTGAAGAGGAAAAAACACTCGGGACAAAAAGGTGCAAACTTCAAAAACCACTCGAAAGAGTTGTCCTCCGTGTTAGTGGTTTTTCACTTTACATCTTTTCTTTTTTTCAGCCCCTTCACCGCCGAGGGATGTATACATCCAACAGACGGATGATCTATCCTTTACCATTGCCTGGACGCCCCCCGATGACGACATCGATGGCTATGTCCTGATGTACAGCCCCAACGACGGTACGTGCCAGACCGATCCTCGTCCCCACCGCCACATCCATAGGGTCGCTGATAACGTCTCATTTTCTTCGAGCTCTCATTGGATACATTTTGTATAAGGGTCATTCTATAAATTTGGGGTCCAAAGTGTGACATTTTTCCCGTCCCTGTTACCTTGGTACTTTGTAATTTGCCATTCAAGCATCATTAAAAGTGACTTCAAATGATTGTTTATTTGTTGGGTAGGTAGTTTGCTATTCATAATCACTCTTGGAGGACGACTGCATTAAGGAGTGCATCAGAATTGTACAATCATAGATGTCAGATGTAACAGGGACAGGAAAAAAGTGGACCCCAAATTTATAGAATGACCCATAACCAGTGACGCGCTGTCAGCACTTTCGCGCATGCGCACGACCCGTTCGCACAGAACGCTCGTACAGGGTGCACTGCACCAATTCAAGCCTCAGCCCTCATTGAAAACAGTTTAAAATCAACAAAGTTCAGGGTTAAATAACATTCAAGCCGACATCACTGGGGTTTCTGAAACAAAAATTAAATTATAGTCTTGTCCTTCATCTTTCTATATATTTTCAATTTTTGGTGGGTTAGCCAATTACATTTTTTAAATATTCACACCAAAACAAACTCACCACCCGAAAAGTAATACTTCCCAAGCCGGCGAGCAGACATTTTACAAATGGCATCCCTTCACTTTCTCAGGCAAAACAGACCCAATTTTCAACCTTAATTTTATCAAATTATGCTCACAGATGGAAACGCCAAAACCAGGGAGTTGATCCTCGGCTATATTTACACAATCCCACCTTTTTTTTTTTTTTTAAAGGAGTTGATCCTCGGCTATATTTACACAATCCCACCTTTTTTTTTTTAAAGCCAAACGGTCTCCTTTTTCAAAAAAAGTTGTGGGGCACTTTTCATGCTAATGAGCTGGGGTAGCAAATTCTGACTTCAATTAGTGCACTGCACCCTTTATTGTTTATAGCAGGTGACCTACCCACAATACTTTGCAACGCTGCGTTTCCTTCACAAGTTTTCCTATGTGAAAGAGAATTAGCAGTTACCAGCGACCCTGGATCGATAGGGCGATTGGGACGAACGATTAGACCCGTCTTGCTCAATGTTATCTGACAGTTAACTTTGTGGCGAGTACGGTTTGGAAGAACATTGCAGATACACCATGCGAGGTGACTAAGTCTTTAAAAGAGGCGTTGGTTGTGACCGTCGGCAGGTCAGAAAAAAATCGACCGAAACGTCGAGATAATATCTCTCTTGATCAGAGCCACACTTCTCTGTTAACATTTAGTCACTTCCTATGGTGGTGTATCCACAAATATCTCCAAAGCAACTTTTTTTTGTCCTTCGAAGGCAGGATGTTCATCAAATTTCATATCAATATGGTATACCGCTTTTGACTTGAATTAGCTATGTTGCCATATAATATACATCAGCTTTACATTTGAGTTTGGACGGATCTGAAACATTTCAAGTGAGAGTTCCTTGAGTAAAAATGCACTTTTGTAAGGACAAATTTCGCCAAAGCAACATTCTCTGTCCTTCAAAGGCTGGATGTTCATCAAATTTTATATCAATCTGGTATACCGCTCTCGACTTGAATTAGCTATGTTACCATGTAAAATACATCAGCTTTACATTTGAGTTTGGGCGGATCTGAAACATTTAAAGTGAGAGTTACTTGAGTAAAAATGCACTTTTGTAAGGACAAATTTCTCCAAAGTAACATTCTCTGTCCTTCAAAGGCTGGATGTTCATTAAATTTTATATCAATCTGGTATACCGCTATAGACTTGAATTAGTTATGTTACCATGTAAAATACATCAGCTTTACATTTGAGTTTGGGCGGATCTGAAACATTTAAAGTGAGAGTTCCTTGAGTAAAAATGCACTTTTGTAAGGACAAATTTCTCCAAAGTAACATTCTCTGTCCTTCAAAGGCTGGATGTTCATCAAATTTTATATCAATCTGGTATACCGCTATCGACTTGAATTAGCTATGTTACCATGTAAAATACATCAGCTTTACATTTGAGTTTGGGCGGATCTGAAACATTTAAAGTGAGAGTTCCTTGAATAAAAATGCACTTTTGTAAGGACAAATTTCTCCAAAGTAACATTCTCTGTCCTTCAAAGGCTGGATGTTCATTAAATTTTATATCAATGTGGTATACCGCTATCGAGTTGAATACGCTATGTTACTATGTAATCTACATCAGCTTTACATTGGAGTTTGGACGGATCTGAAACATTTCAAGTGAGAGTTCCTTGAGTAAAAATGCACTTTTATAAGGACAAATTTGTCCAAAGTAACATTCTCTGTCCTTCAAAGGCTGGATGTTCATCAAATTTTATATCAATCTGGTATACCGCTCTCGACTTGAATTAGCTATGTTACTATGTAATCTACATCAGCTTTACATTTTAGTTTGGGCGGATCTGAAACATTTCAAGTGAGAGTTCCTTCAGTAAAAGTGCACTTTTATAAGCACAAATTTCTCCAAAGTAACATTCTCTGTCCTAATTCAAAGGCTGGATGTTCATTAAATTTTATATCAATCTGGTATGCCGCTATCGACTTGAATACGCTATGTTACTATGTAATCTACATCAGCTTTACATTTGAGTTTGGGCGGATCTGAAACATTTCAAGTGAGAGTTCCTTGAGTAAAAATGCACTTTTATAAGGACAAATTTCTCCAAAGTAACATTCTCTGTCCTTCAAAGGCTGGATGTTCATTACATTTTATATCAATCTGGAAACCCGCTCTCGACTTGAATTAGTTATGTTACCATGTAATATACATCAGCTTTACATTTGAGTTTGGGCGGATCTGAAACATTTCAAGTGAGAGTTCCTTGAGTAAAAATGCACTTTTATAAGGACAAATGTCTCCAAACTAACATTCTCTGTCCGTCGAAGGCTAGATGTTCATTAAATTTTATATCAATCTGGTTAACCGCCATCGACTTGAATTAGTTATGTTACCATGTAATATACATCAGCTTTACATTTGGGTTTTGGCAGAGTTCCTTGAGTAAAAATGCACTTTTGTAAGGACACATTTCTCCAAAGTAACATTCTCTGTCCTTCAAAGGCTGGATGTTCATTAAATTTTATATCAATCTGGTATACCGCTCTCGACTTGAATTAGCTATGTTACCATGTAATCTACAGCAGCTTTACATTGGAGTTTGGGCGGACCTGAATCATTGAAAGTGAGAGTTCCGTGAGTAAAAATGCACTTTTAGAGGACAAAATGACCATTGCATTCCAATAGCAAAGACACCCAAAGAATTAATGCAGGAAGTTCGATACAAACCATCCTGTTATTTACCATATTGAATACTTTATTCACGCTTCGAAAACCATACAATTCCATTCAATCGCCGAGATATACGCAAGGGTTTTTAAACTCATGACAACTTGTTTGACGTAATTGTCAACTCCGCTAAGGAGATTAATATGTTTTCATCGGATTTGGTTGGTTTGTTGGTTGGTTTGTCTGTTAACAAGATGGACGGATAAGTTAGGGGTGGTCCTTGGTACAAGTACAAAATCGATTAGATTTTGGAAGTGATCCGGATCTGGGTCTGGATCCAGGATTTGTTTTACGAATTCTTCACCATTTATAGGGCTCATACTGACAATAACGGGGAATTGTTAAACCCTTCTGGCGGGGTTTTGCGCGCTCTGAGTGCTTTCTAGTTTTTAAAAATAAATTATATCCTACTCCTCTGTAGTAAGAACCGCGCTTTTGGGTGCTAAAACTCGTTGGTAGTTAAGCATGCATGGTAATTTATTAATTTATCATTTTATTAACTTTAATCTATTAATTTGTGTTATTTGTATTATTAAATTGGCATTGTGTAGTCGAGAATTTCATAACAGAAAATGTAAATAGAAGTTCTCGTGAATGGACGAAAGTGTACAAGCGTCGTCTCATTGTCTGACCTCCCCATGTTATTATTCCGACTCCTGTTGATGTTTTTCCTATATTTTACTGGAGTTCATAATAGCATGGACATAAAGCTGAACCTGACCTAATTGCAAGCGATCGTAATAATATTGTGGCGCTTACATAGCGCTTTACATCAAAGGTTATTACCCCTGTGCATCAGGCCATGAGACCCATTTTTGCAGCAGCTCGAGAGTAGCGCATTCTGGTCTCAACCTTCACAGGTACCTATTTATATTCCTGTGTGGAGAGAGGCAATTGTAGTAAAGTGTCTTGCCTAAGAACACAAGCACCCTGTTCCCCGTCAGGGTTCGAACCCACAGACCACGGCACGTGAGTCGAACAGCGTAAACTTTGGACCATTATTATCAAAATGTATGAAGGAATGAAAGGAACTCCTATACTTGTTTTTTTTTTTAACGCGCCTCCTTTTTTGATATTATCTTCACAGTTTTACCGGAGACGAAACTCCTACTCAACACCTCCATGACATACATGCACGTCGTGTGTGAGGTGCCCATCACGTCCCAATTCCGAATTGGGTTCGTGTCCGTCAGGGGTCAACTACACAGTGACCCTGGCCACGTGCAGCTGCTTCTACCCGGCCACCACAGTGAGTATGCACCAGTCTATTAACTCGTCCCCAGAAATCAGAAACAGAATTATTCAAACAAGTGCAAGTGCGCTCTGGCCGTGTTGCATGAAATCTATCAAAACGATCCCTGCCACAGCTGAAAAAATGCGACGCTGAAAATTGCGACGCCGATGGCACATATGGAACACCATAGTTTTGGAAAATTTTCGGGACCGACAAACAGACCATCCGACCGACCGATCGATCGACCACCAAGTGACATGTAGAAAGTTCCCGCCAGAGCTTAAAAATAGAAAGTTGTTAGAGAAACCCTTGAAATCTCCTGTTGGAACCCATTATGAGAATGATAAATATGCATGCATCATGAAACCCTTTAGGACGATAGAAAATAGTTATCAGGAACCCCTAAGCTGGTAGAAAATAGGTAGTGGCAATTGGTACTCCCTAGAAGGTTAGAAAAAGTGCGAATGGACAATAAGCTATGGCCGTGTTGCAAGAAGTCTTGCATGGTTGTCTTGCATGAAATCGATCAAAATGATCCCTGCTAGAGCTAAAATTGTGATCGATCATATTAATATCCCTGCCAGAGCTTAAAAAATCGACGCCGAAATATGCGACGCCGATGGCACGTATGGAGCACCATAGTTTTGTTCAATTTTCGGGGACAGACAGACAGACAGACAGACAGACCGACCGACCACCAAGTGACATGTAAAAGCTCCTTCCCAGAGCACATTGAGTTGCAGGATGGTTAAAACATCAGACCATTCCTTGCCAAATGATGTTGTCCTATAATGTTTTATATTCAAAGAATCCAATAACTAGAGCGTGAGAACTAGCTTGTGGTAGCATGTACTGCTCGAATGCCACGGGGAATGAGGTATCATCAAAACTGCTTTCGTGCAGTGCAATTAGGTTAAGGGTACAGATCTGTAAATAGGCCCGAAATTGCCTACGCCGGCCAAATCACAATTTGCATGCCCTCAAATTCTCCGGTATATTAGAGCATTTTGAGGGCCGTGAACTCGAGGATTTGAAGAAAACAAAAAAGAAGTGCGGAAGCCGTGCGGAGGACTACTGCGAGCTCCTATTTCTGTGAAATGTGGATGAAATTGAGCCCTAAAATGGCTCTATTTTGCAATGGAGCGTTAAGTGTCCATTTTCAAAATGGCGATGGGCTTCAGTACTGCTTCTAGGGGTGATCATCTTTGGATTGAATTTTCTCCCAAAGTCATTGGTTAACCCCACCAAAAAATAAACGGAAAATGAAAGATAATTAAAATAAGCTTTAGTTTGATGTGTGTCTCAAACACCTTGGAGTTTTTTTTACTAATTTTGGGAAGTTAATATTGAACGGAAAATGAAAGATGAAGAAAATAAGCTTTAATTTGATGTGTGTCTCAAACACCTTGGAGATTTTTTTTTACTAATGTTGGGAAGTGCGAGTAATTATCACTGAGGTCTATGGCAGTCTATTTACTGGTCTGCAACCTCAAACGTTCAGTAACCATGTATAAGAATGATGAGCAGTCTGGATTCCATACAAGTCTAAATTTATAATGCATCACGGCACCAATCATGCATATTACAGTTTGAAACCTTCCTTACTATGTTCAGACAGTCTAACAACAAGGGCATGTTATACTTCCCACAACAGGCATCATAAGAAAGACTTTAAAATCGTCAAGTGTCAATGTGTGTATGCGAAAGACAAATCGGTTGTTTTTGCTTATAGCTAGCCCCGTTTAAGAAGATACATTTCATTTTCTCTTAATTATAGTTGATTTATATCAGAGAAAGTGAGGGACATGCACTGTTTAGAAGCTTTTCAGACGTTAAATTGTCAATTCGTCGGTATACGACCTCGTTTATGTGAACCAAGGGATACTACTCTACAGGTCATTGGAATTTGTTAATGTCATGGGTAGTTGAATGCTCCTTTGCCCTTCACATTAAAGGAAGATACGCTTGCTGCCGTGCTAACATGGGTTAATGTCGAAATTTCTCTGTGCCTAGGATCTTGTTTACATTGCTTCACAAGCACATCCAAGCGTATACAGTCGAGTCTCTTTATAACAAACTCGTTCGGACCTAGCCAAATTGTTTGTTATAGGCCTATCAGAATTTTGTATTAAGAGGAACATCAGTCCCATTCATTGTGCATATAAATGCACAGTCGGGACCAAGGCTTTATGTTTGTTATAACCAGAATTTTGTATTAACGGAGTTTGTACTAACGAGAGTCGACTGTACATGTTTCGGATATCTAGGACGTCCGTCATGACACTAGGAACAACACGTCCTCTCCGCATCGGAACAAACCTTGCTAGTTTAACGACCATAACGGAAAGCCCGTCAATTCTGTACAGAGTACTGATTCCATAACCATCCGCTTCATTGTCAGTTGACCATGATGCTGTATTAACAGACTTCCTTTATGTCCCGTAAAACAATTTATCTCCATTCCAGCACCTTGTTTGTCCTTGCTCTATGGTTTGAGGAGGACAAAGATAACCCCAAAACACATTACATAACCCAGGATGTATTCGCAGACATGTCGGCGTGGTCGTCCCGAGTCCTTTGCTGTGAAAGCGATTAGCTTGAGACAATCAAGGTTACTTCTTTACATAACCTGTGATATTTCTGGAGGTTTTCGGATATGGCTGCGTCCCTATACCACGAGAAAGGAAAAGATGGAAATCTATAAAGAACATGCTGTCTTCCCTCTCGACGCCAGAAGGCATCCTCTGTCATCCACTTGGGGAATGACACGGCCTTGACTCACCTACTCGCTTCCTTACCCTTGTTATTTCTTCGTCTGGCAGTGGGAAGAAATAATAGGTGGTGAGAGGAACCCTGGGCATTGCCACTGTACTGTGAAGGTGAACTTTAAGATAAGAGACGGCATGCTAGGGGTAAGGGGACAAGGGAAGTGTCTTGTCACTTGGTTGAAAGTGCAACACCGTATAGGTCACATCTCAGGTATACTTACAGGTCCTCTTCAGATTGTAGGCCTTCGTAGGTCTAATATCATCAGATATAGATAGTGAAGAGATGGCATGCTCGGGCTGTGATGAAAGGGACAATGGAAATGTCTTGTCACTTGCTTGAAAGTGCAACACCGTGTAGGTCACATCTCAGGCACTTACAGGTCCTCTATAGATTGTAGACCTTTGTGTGTGTCTTTTCATCAGCTATAGTGAAGAGACGGCGATGGGGCATGGTGAAGGGGATAAGGGAAGTGTCTTGTCACTTGCTTGAAAGTGCAACACCGTGTAGGTCACATCTCAGGTACTTACAGGTCCTCTCCAGATTGTAGGCCTTTGTAGGTCTCTTTTCATCAGATATAGTGAAGGGGTCGTTAAAGGGAAGTGTCTTTTTACTTGCCTTAAAATGCAACGTGATAGGTCACATCTCAGGTACTCACATATCACCTTCAGATTGTGGGCCTTCGTAGGTCTCTTTAGAAGGGAACAAGGGAAGTGTCTTGTCACTTGCTTTCAAGTGCAACACTCAATTAGGTCCTTAATACTTACACGTCCTCTTCATATCGTGGGCCTTTGTAGGTCTCTTTCATCAGATCTCTATACTATCACCTGTTATATTACATATTGTGGGTATGTGAGGGTTGTTGTATCAGTTTCACATCTTAATAAAGCCGTGTCCGCACTGGACTTTTTTTTGAAGGAATGCGACGCATAAAGCTTATCCTTATCTATGTTTGTTTGTTTTTGAGCCGTAACGACCATTTTTGGAAGGTAGTTCCCATAACAATCGCGCGCAACGCTCGCCGTTTTTGGCACGGAGCGATTTTCTCGCCATTTTATCGTACAGAGGGCCGTCTGAAAATTCGGCAAAGTCTTGTGTTATTGAGAAAATCCGGAATGAATTTTTTACACAAAATGCACACGTGATCATGTGCCTAACAACTGTCTTGCCGGTGGTAAAAGCGAGAAAGGAACCGGCCGTTTACATGCAAACCGAGGCGGATACCAACGCAATTGGGAGTTCTTGTTCTGAAATTGTTCACCTATGCACACAGTTCCGTGATATATACGGACTGCATGATGTTTTTGGTGTTCTTTATGCTTCTATAACTAATTGCGGGTATATGTTGCTTTCTACTCTAGGATTGCATTGCCCCCATTATGCAAGCTTGTGTATCGTATTCTGGGGCTATTATCCCCTTGTACAGCTCGTCGTGATCATGATCAGAGGGTCCGGGTTCGAATCCAGCTGCTGGTCATTATGTTGTGTGACTTGTGTCCTTGGGCAAACCACTTCACCCCCACTTGCCTCTCTCCAACAAGGAGTAAAAATGGGTACCGGCATTAGATGGGGAGTAACCTGCGATGGACTGGCATCCCATCCAGGGGGGAGTAGAAATATTCTCATTCGTTTCATGCCACTGAAACCGGAGATAAACGCCGGCCTGATGGGCCACAGTGGCTCGCGTCAGACTTTACTTTACTGCAGCTCGTCAAATCTCCAACTGAAATCTTCAATCTGGAATCTTCAACTTATTTTGAGAATGAGATTGCGGAACCATGAATATAAATCGTTTATGTCAAGGTCACACGCTTCAGCTCGTGCGAGAGTCGGGGCCCTTTCCATGGGTTGACGCCGTACGGTGATTCACCCTTGAATGTTTGGATGTTGTTTCCACAAATCTCGGTGGAAAAATATACTTTTGGGAGGAAGTTTCAATTTTCTGTCGAGGTCACAGAAAGTCAGTCTTTTTAAAAACATGCACAGATACATTGCACATCATCTGTATTTTTTTCTCAAAACCTGCCACAATTTATTACAAATTTTCGCGTGGAAGGAACTATTATGGAATTATTGACAGGTAGAAGACGAAAGCAAACAGGTTGGATTACAAATGCACAGGGGAAAGACTAAGTTCATGACAAACTTTGAGACAACAGAAGAAATAGAAATAGAGGGTCATCTGATGAATAAAGTGCAAAGTGGAGAGTTATAAATACCTTGGCCAAACACTGAAGATGGAAGACACC